CACTAGAAGAGGTAAGAACTCAGATGTTGAGAGGTCAGGTCCCTCTCAAATCCAGCCGTTCTCACTAGTGGAGGTGGTCGAAGTTGATTGTAGGTCTGTACCAAGATACCCTTGTGTTGCAGTGTCTGACAGATTGAACATTAAAATGGTATAAAATACCGACAGGTTGTTAGGTAAGACACATATGCAACAGTTAGGTATCTTTATTACGAAATGTTTCGCCTACACAGTAGGCTACTGTGTAGGCGAAACGTTTCGTAATAAAGATACCTAACTGTTGCATATGTGTCTTACTAGTTTTCTCTGTATTAGGACTGAAGAAGCCAGTCGTGGCGAAACGTTTCCTTTAATAAATGTCCTGAACTGTACGTGTCTTTCCACATCTTGTCGGTATCACCATACCATTTCCTCATTCTACACGGACGGCTCAGCACGGACCTCTCCTCTCCCCACTTCTACATCTGCGGCCTTTGCTAATCTCTCCCATACCCATCCTGTGGGCGGTAGTCACCCCATACCCATTCTGTGGGCGGTAGTCACCCCATACCCATCCTGCGGGCGGTAGTCAAAAGATTACAGAGGTACATAACTGGTCCAGGAACCTCATCCGTCAGACACAATCTCTTCTGCGTTTCTTGCGGAGCCCAGGTTGGAGCGTCTCCCTTCAGTGGGTACCTGCCCAAGTTGGCGTCCGGGGCAATGAAGCGGCTGATCGAGCGGCTTCCCTCGCACCTTACACCTGCTGTCACTTTCTTTGTAGGGTTTATCAAAGCCACTGACAGCATAAGCCGGAGTACAGAGTCCGGCTTCACCATGTTCCAGGAAGATTTATTGCCCGAGGCTGGACGATGAGAGAAAAGGAGCAAAAGTTCCTTTGTAAATAGAGATAGAAACTTGAAGGTTCCAATTAGATCCGGTGGACGCCATTGCCAAGCTCCAGGAGAGGGGGACGCCCTTGCCAAGCTCCATGAGAGAGGGACGCCCTTGCCAAGCCCCAGCAGAGAGGGACGCCCTTGCCAAGCCCTAGCAGAGAGGGACACCTTTGCCAAGCTCCAGTAGAGAGGGGCGCCCTTGCCAAACCCCAGCAGAGAGGGACGCCTTTGCCAAGCTCCAGTAGAGAGGGGCGCCCTTGCCAAGCCCCAGCAGAGAGGGACGCCCTTGCCAAGCTCCAGCAGAGAGGGACACCCTTGCCAAGCCCCAGCAGAGAGGGACGCTTTTGCCAAGCCCCAGTAGAGAGGGGCGCCCTTGCCAAGCTCCAGCAGAGAGGGACACCCTTGCCAAGCTCCAGCAGAGAGGGACGCCCTTGCCAAGTCCCAGCAGAGAGGGACGCCCTTGCCAAGCTCCAGCAGAGAGGGACACCCTTGCCAAGCTCCAGCAGAGAGGGACGCTCTTGTCATGCCCCAGCAGAGAGGGACGCCCTTGCCAAGCCCCAGCAGAGAGGGACGCTTCTGCCAAGCCCCAGCAGAGAGGGGCGCCCTTGCCAAGCTCCAGCAGAGAGGGACACCCTTGCCAAGCTCCAGCAGAGAGGGACGCCCTTGCCAAGCCCCAGCAGAGAGGGACGCTTTTGCTAAGGCCCAGCAGAGAGGGGCGCTTTTGCCAAGCTCCGGGAGAGAGGGACGCCCTTGCCAAGCTCCAGCAGAGAGGAACACCCTTGCCAAGCTCCAGCAGAGAGGGACGCTTTTACCAAGCCCCAGCAGAGAGGGACGCCCTTGCCATGCTCCAGCAGAGAGGGACGCCCTTGCCAAGCCCCATCAGAGAGGGACGCCCTTGCCAAGCCCCAGCAGAAACGGACGCCCACACCCCTACCTGAGTACAGTAACCGGCTTCCCACCAAAGACCGTTAAAGACACGATTGCAAACAAACCATACCACGGGTGGGGATAGAACTCGCGATCAGAGAGTCTCAAAACTCCAGACCGTCGCGTTAGCCACTGGACCAGCTAGGCACAATAAGATTCGTCCAACTAGGTATATTTCTACACCATAGGAAGGTTAGCATAGGCCACCACTGTGACCACAAATGCAAGTTTTTACAGACGAATCTCCAGCTAGCGTGGCCCTGACGAACTCTAGTTGGGCGAATCTTATTGTGGCAAGCTGGTCCAGTGGCTAACACGACGGTCTGGTGTTTTGAGACTCTCTGACCGCGGGTTCTATCCCCACCCGTGGTATGGTTTGTTTGCAATCGTGGTATTACAATTTCGTGAGTCAACAACAACCTACTTACTGGGGGACTTCTGCGCCATTCTTCGTCGGGTGTGGACATCTCTCTCTCGCCTGAGTATCAGTGACAAATTTCCACCGTTCTCTCTGGGACGCTTGTCCTCATCTTTTGTGCCCGACGAGCACTCTACAGGAGAGGCACCTGGCACTCTACAGGAGAGGCACCTGGCACTCTACAGGAGAGGCACCTGGCACTCTACAGGAGGGGCACCTGACACTCTACAGGAGGGGCAAACCTGGACTCTACAGGAGGGGCACCTGGGGACTCTACGGGGAGGCACCTGGCACTCTACAGGAGAGGCACCTGGCACTCTACAGGAGAGGCACCTGGCACTCTACAGGAGAGGCACCTGGCACTCTACAGGAGAGGCACCTGGCATTCTACAGTAGAGGCACCTGGCACTCTACAGGAGAGGCACCTGGCACTCTACAGGAGAGGCACCTGGCACTCTACAGGAGAGGACCTGGGACTCTACAGGAGAGGCACCCCGGCACTCTACAGGAGAGGCACCTGGCACTCTACAGGAGAGGCACCTGGCATTCTACAGTAGAGGCACCTGGCACTCTACAGGAGAGGCACCTGGCACTCTACAGGAGAGGCACCTGGCATTCTACAGTAGAGGCACCTGGCACTCTACAGGAGAGGCACCTGGCACTCTACAGGAGAGGCACCTGGCACTCTACAGGAGAGGCACCTGGCACTCTAAAAGGAGAGGCACCTGGCATTCTACAGTAGAGGACTGGCACTTAAAAGGAGAGGCACCTGGCACTCTACAGGAGAGGCACCTGGCACTCTACAGGAGAGGCACCTGGCACTCTACAGGAGAGGCACCTGGCATTCTACAGTAGAGGCACCTGGCACTCTACAGGAGAGGCACCTGGCACTCTACAGGAGAGGCACCTGACACTCTACAGAAGAGGCACCTGTCACTCTACATGAGAGGCACCTGGCACTCTACAGGAGGGGCACCTGGCACTCTACAGGAGAGGCACCTGTCACTCTACAGGAGAGGCACCTGTCACTCTACAGGAGAGGCACCTGTCACTCTTCAGGAGAGGCACCTGGCACTCTACAGGAGAGGCACCTGGCACTCTACAGGAGAGACATCTGGCACTTTTACAGGAGAGGCACCCCGGCACCTACAGGAGAGGCACCTGACACTCTACAGGAGAGGCACCTGACACTCTACAGAAGAGGCACCTGTCACTCTACATGAGAGGCACCTGGCACTCTACAGGAGGGGCACCTGGCACTCTACAGGAGAGGCACCTGTCACTCTACAGGAGAGGCACCTGTCACTCTACAGGAGGGCCCCCTGTCACCCCTACAGGAGAGGCACCTGGCACTCTACAGGAGAGGCACCTGGCACTCTACAGGAGAGACATCTGGCACTCTACAGGAGAGGCACCTGGCACTCTACAGGAGAGGCACCTGACACTCTACAGGAGAGGCACCTGGCACTCTACAGGAGAGGTACCTGGCACTATACAGGAGAGGCACCTGGCACTCTACTCTACAGGAGAGGCACCTGGCACTCTACAGGAGAGGCACCTGGAACTCTACAGGAGAGGCACCTGGCACTCTACAGGAGAGGCACCTGGCACTATACAGGAGAGGCACCTGTCACTCTACAGGAGAGGCACCTGTCACTCTACAGGAGAGGCACCTGGCACTATACAGGAGAGGCACCTGGCACTATACAGGAGAGGCACCTGGCACTCTACAGGAGAGGCACCTGGCACTCTACAGGAGAGGCACCTGGAACTCTACAGGAGAGGCACCTGGCACTATACAGGAGAGGCACCTGGCACTCTACAGGAGGGGCACCTGACACTCTACAGGAGGGGCACCTGGCTCTATACAGGAGGGGGACCTGGCGCTCTACAGGAGAGGCACCTGGCACTATACAGGAGGGGCACCTGGCACTATACAGGAGGGGCACCTGGCACTCTACAGGAGGGGCACCTGGCACTATATAGGAGGGGCACCTGGCACTCTACAGGAGGGGCACCTGTATATCGGCTTACTTTAGTCAGCTCCATTTTTTCCGCTCTGCTGAAAATTCTTTAACGGTTTTTGGTGGGAAGCCGGTTACTGTACTCAGGTAGGGGGTGTGGGCGTCCGTTTCTACCGGGGCTTGGCAAGGGCGTCCCTCTCTGCTGGGGCTTGGCAGGGGCGTCCCTCTCTGATGGAGCTTGGCAATTGCGTCCCTCTCTCCTTGAGCTTGGCAATGGCGTCCCTCTCTTCTGGAGCTTGGCAATGGCTGTGCTGGAGCTTGGCAAGGGTGTCCCTCTCTGCTGGGGCTTGGCAATGGCATCCCTCTCTCCTGGAGCTTAGCAATGGCGTCCCTCTCTTCTGGAGCTTGGCAATGGCGTCCCTCTGTGCTGGAGCTTGGCAAGGGCGCCCCTCTCTACTGGAGCTTGGCAAAGGGTGTCCCTCTCTGCTGGGGCTTGGCAAGGGCGTCCGTCTCTCCTGGAGCTTAGCAATGGCGTCCCTCTCTTCTGGAGCTTGGCAATGGCGTCCCTCTGTGCTGGAGCTTGGCAAGGGCGCCCCTCTCTACTGGAGCTTGGCAAAGGGTGTCCCTCTCTGCTGGGGCTTGGCAATGGCGTCCCTCTCTCCTGGAGCTTGGCAATGGCGTCCCTCTCTCCTGGAGCTTGGTAATGGCGTCCCTCTCTCCTGGAGCTTGGCAATGGCGTCCACCGGATCTAATTGGAACCTTCAAGTTTCTATCTCTATTTACAAAGGAACTTTTGCTCCTTTTCTCTCATCGTCCAGCCTCGGGCAATAAATCTTCCTGGAACATGGTGAAGCCGGACTCGATACGGCGCTGCTGTCAGCCGCCCTTATAAACCCAACAACACCAACACAGGTTTTATTTGAGGTAAAAATTTCCTGTATATTACACAATAATATTATCATAAATTATTATTCCTGGGTTGATATGATGTTGATGTTTAAGATCATGTCTTTTACTGCATGTTAGTCATTTCTTTTGGTGTTATTTACGGTTAAATAAGATCGAAATAACCGGGGCATGTTAGTGGGTTTGTGATGCTGGTGAGGGGCTCTTGATGTATGATCCTTGATGCTGGTGAGGGGCTCTTGATGTAGGTTCCTCAAGGTAGGTTCCTTGATGCTGGTGAGGGGCTCTTGATGTATGATCATTGATGCTGGTGAGGTGCTCTTGATGTAGGTTCCTCAATGTAGGTTCCTTGATGCTGGTGAGGGGCTCTTGATGTAGGTTCCTCAAGGTAGGTTCCTTGATGCTGGTGAGGGGCTCTTGATGTAGGTTTCTCAAGGTAGGTTCCTTGATGCTTTTGAGGGGCTCTTGATCTAGGTTCCTCAAGGTAGGTTCCTTGATGCTGGTGAGGGGCTCTTGATCTAGGTCCCTCAAGGTAGGTTCCTTGATGCTGGTGAGGGGCTCTTGATCTAGGTCCCTCAAGGTAGGTTCCTTGATGCTGCTGAGGGTTCTTGATCTAGGGCCCTCAAGGTAGATTCCTTGATGCTGGTGAGGGGCTCCTGATCTAGGTCCCTCAAGGTAGGTTTCTTGATGCTGGTGAGGGGCTCTTGATCTAGGGTCCTCAAGGTAGGTTCCTTGATGCTGGTGAGGGGCTCTTGATCTAGGGTCCTCAGGGTAGGTTCCTTGATGCTGGTGAGGGGCTCTTGATCTAGGTTCCTCAAGATAGGTTTCTTGATGCTGGTGAGGGGGTCTTGATCTAGGTCCCTCAAGGTAGGTTCCCTGATGCTGGTGAGGGTTCTTGATGCTGGTGAGAGGCTCTTGATCTAGGTCCCTCAATGTAGGTTCCTTGATGCTGGTGAGGGTTCTTGATCTAGGTCCCTCAAGGTAGGTTCCTTGATGCTGCTGAGGGTTCTTGATCTAGGGCCCTTAAGGTAGATTCCTTGATGCTGGTGAGGAGCTCCTGATCTAGGTCCCTCAAGGTAGGTTCCTTGATGCTGGTGAGGGGCTCTTGATATAGGGTCTTCAAGGTAGGTTCCTTGATGCTGGTGGGCTCTTGATCTAGGGTTCTCAGGGTAGGTTCCTTGATGCTGGTGAGGGGCTCTTGATCTAGGTTCCTCAAGATAGGTTCCTTGATGCTGGTGAGGGGGTCTTGATCTAGGTCCCTCAAGGTAGGTTCCTTGATGCTGGTGAGGGTTCTTGATCTAGGTCTCTCAAGGTAGGTTCCTTGATGCTGGTGAGGGGCTCTTGATCTAGGCCCCTCAAGGTAGATTCCTTGATGCTGGTGAAGGTTCTTGATCTAGGTCCCTCAAGGTAGATTCCTTGATGCTGGTGAGGGGCTCTTGATCTAGGTCCCTCAAGGTAGGTCCCTTGATGCTGGTGAGGGAATCTTGAATTGGATCTGTGTTCCAGTTCCCTGAATTAAACCTGAATACCTTCCATCCCCCCCCACAGTGCTGTATAATCCTACGGGTTTAGTGCTTCCCCATGATAATAATAAAAATGGTGAGAGGCTCTTGATCTAGGGAATTGGATCTGTGCTCCAGTTCCCTGAATTAAACCTGAATACCTTGTATATCACCCCCCACAGGTGCTGTATAATCCTACGGGTTTAGTGCTCCCCCATGATTATAATAATAACGTAATATGTCAACCACACATCGTAAACTTTACAAGCCAATAAACATTTTCATTTTCATTTTTTGAGGTGACGTTGTGCATAATGGTGGACATCACGACCAACAACTTCAACAATATTCTTCCAGAAATTCTCTCCGACGTCAAGTCGTCTTCCTTCGTGGCGCTCGACACTGAATTTACAGGACTTTTGGCAGACGCTGCATTTAAAGGAAGGTGATTATTAATAACATATTAAGAGGACGACTCCCCTTGAGGGAAGTTCCTTGATGTTGGTGAGGGGCTCTTGATCTAGGGGGTTGGATCAGTATACCTGGAGAGAGTTCTGGGGGTCAACGCCCCCATGGCCTGGTCTATGACCAGGCCTCATGGTGGATCAGGGCCTGATCAACCAGGATGTTACTGCTGGCTTCACGCAAACCAACGTATGAACCACAGCCCGGCTCGTCAGGTACTGACTTTAGGTGCCTGTCCAGTGCCTTCTTGAAGACAACCAGGGGTCTTGAAGACCCCTGGTTGTCTTGAAGACAACCGGAGGTCTTGAAGATAGTCATGGGTCTTGAAGACAACCAGGGGTCTTGAAGACAACCAGGGATCTTGAAGACAGCCAGGGGTCTTGAAGACAACCAGGGGTCGTGAAGACAGCCAGGGGTCTTGAAGAAAACCAGGGGTCTTGAAGACAGACAGGGGTCTTGAAGACAACCAGGGGTCTTGAAGACAGCCAGGGGTCTTGAAGACAACCAGGGGTCTTGAAGACAACCAGGGGTCTTGAAGACAACCAGGGGTGGTAGGTAAGACACATAGGCAACAGTTAGGCAACTTTATTCCGAAACGTTTCGCCTACACGTGGCTTCTTAGTTGAATCAGAAAAGAAAACAGGAAATTAGAGATGTGAAGACGATGTAATCGTCCATCCCCTTAAAGTCGTAGATTTGAGGTTGTCAGTCCCTCAGCCTGGAGAAGTTTAGTTCCATAGTAGGAACTATATGAAGATCAAAACGACAGGCGGAGACTTAAATACTGTGGAAGGGAGGTCAAATTTAAATAATAAGTTTATTCAGGTATACACAAAAAACCGTTACATAGAATTATCAACCCAGCAGATTGTGTAGCAACCCAGGAAAACCCAAAAAAGTCAGACGAGTGACTTATTTCCCTTGGGGTCCTTTTACCCTTTTTATTATAATATAAAGCTTATAATATTTTTTATTATTTATAATGAAAATAACACTTTTATCATACTAAAAAGATATCTACTATGGGGCATTAAAACTATCTACAATCGAGGGGTCATTTCTAGAAAAAGATAAAATTTACACGATGTTAGCTAAAAAATAGAAAATCATTCCCCTCCCTTTCTGTAGCTACATTCATCGGACACCTTTTGGCACTCTTCTTGAACTGGTTCATGCTAGGGACTGGCCTTGAAAATGTGCGGGTAGTTTTGTTCCATTCCTTTATTGCTGTACATAAACGGTGTTTGAACCCTGGCCAATGACTGTGGGTACTACAAAGTTGTGCTCTCTTCCTAGTACTATGTTTTGCTTTGGTTCCCAACCTTGGCAAAATTGACAGCAAGATATTCTGGCACTTGTTTGTGAGCTTTTTATAAACATGATTTAGCTTCAGTTGTTTTACTCTGTTTTTCAACATTCAACATATCCAACTGCTGTAAATTTATCTGGCCTACATGTTCTCTTGGTCCCGCCCCATGATGAATCTTACGATTTTTTCTGGGTGCTTTGCAGTCTATCTTTCAGTTTTTTTTTGTCAAGGCCAGAGTACCATGAAGAGCAAGCGTAATCCATATGGCATTGTATAAGGGCTAGACATAGGGGCCTGCGAGCCTCAGCAGGTAGACACTGTGCTTGTCTATACAGGAACTTCAGTCTGTATTCGCTTTCTTTACTACCTGTTCCCTATCAATTCCTGACATGCATGGTCAAAGGGGATTCCCAAAATATTTTTACTGATGAAACCAAAAATAATGGGCTCCCCATTACACTGGACATTAAAATTATTTACCCTTCTCAGTTTATGTTTCGTGCCAAAGAGAATGGCTTCCCGTTTTCCCGAGGTGTAAAGATGGGTTTTTGTCTACAAAACCTTTTTGCGGCAGGACACCATTTCCCAATTTTTTTTTAAAACCCATTGGGCTATATTTTTGTGGGTCTTTACCTCCCACTAACGGGGCCCTTCATCTGAAAATACATTTAGGATTTTGCATTTTCCGGGGGGGGGAAGGGCAGGTCTTGACGTAACATAAGAATAAAAAGGGGGCCCCAAGAATATCCCTTTGGAAAACTCCACATGTTACGGCGGGGGGTTCTGTTTCCCCTTTTTTGTTGTTTTTGACTTTTTGTCCCCTTTGTAAGGTAGGCCCTTAAAAAACCAGCCCTCAAAACCCTTAACCGTTTAGTTAAATTTTCTTACATAATATATTGGGGTTTGGGACAGTAACAAAGGGCCCTTTTTGCAGGAAAAAGGGTTTTTCCCAAATCCTATAAATTTTCCCCCTTTGACTTTCAGTTCTCGGGGAAATTCCATCGGGAATTAAATAAGGGAGGTGTGGGTTTAGTGGGGATCTTCAAAGCCCTTTTTTGGATAGTTTATGGAGAATTTTTGTTGCCCTTTAAAGGGGGTTCCCAAAAAACAATTTTGGAGTACACCGCCCTCCCCTGGGGAAATTTTTAATTTATGAGTATAGTAACAGGCCTATAGTTGCGGGACATCAACCTACTATTTTTTTGAAGATAGGGGTAACTCTGGCCCCCTTTAACCCCCCTCCGGTATGGTATTATTGGGGAAATTGATAGATTTATTTTGTGAGCAATGGGGGTTGACATTTCCCAAAAAGCACCACCTTTTAGGAATTTTAAAGGGGAGGGTTACGGGGCCTTTGTGCTCTTATTTTGGGGTTTTTTTTTTTAACTGCTTAGTTTTTTTTTAAAATAAAGTCTTGGGGAAAACATTTAACTATTGACAAACTTTTTGGGGGTTCCCCTTTTTTTTTTATATTTAATGTTTGAAACTTATCAGGTTTTGTGTTAAAGGTATTTGATGCAGCTGGAAGTTTACTTACAGGGGTTTGTTTGCAACAGTTGTGTGGGGAAAGGAAATTAAAGAAATTTTTGCCCCCTTTAAGATGTTTCGTGGCATACTTCATTTTTTCGATAGCGAGAAATTTATTTTAGACCTATCTACTGGGATTTGCTATACCCCAACTTTTTTTAGTTGTTGCCCCGAGGGTTTCTGGGGTTATGCTTATACTCTTCAATTTTGAGCAAATAGTTTCTTTTCCTTTTCTCCTTTTTATAGTTTCTGTACCTGTTCCCAAACCCCTTTTGGAAATTTTTTAATTCCTGCAAAATCCTGTCTGTTTGCTTTAAACTTTTTACCTGGGTTTTGAATTTTAAATTATCCCAAACAGGGACCCCCGGTTAACGAACTTTTTTTTATTCCAGTTGTTTGTTCAGGGGGCCAGGAATGACCGGAAAATTTTTTTTCCCCCAAAAAATATTGTGAATAGATTGGGCCCTTTCAGACCCCCAAAAAATACACGTACAAACGCACTTTCATAAATTTCCAAATTACATAATTGGTCGGGATTTGGGGTATCGTTTAAACGGGGGGTCCCCCTGTTTAGTTTTCATTATTCATCCCGGGTTCAGTTTTTTCGTTTTAATCCTAACCTTTTAACTGGTGCAATATTATCAAAGGGTGGTAGTTTAAAAATTGTTTTAAAATTTTTTCCCCCGGGATCGTTTACGGCCGGCAACTTGTTAACCTGTTTCCAAATCACAATTGTTGGTTTGCCAAATTTTCCCGTTTTCTTTACTTAGTTTTTTAGTTGACCCCAAATTTTTTTGTCCTTTGGGGGGCCTATCCTATCTCTAAGTGAAAATTTTTCCGGGGCGTAAAATTTATTTAAAAAGTTTACTAAGACCTGTGGGGAAAGACGCCCGACTGACTAATGTTTTCAGGCGGGGGGGTTACAAAGTATGGGGGTCAATTAGGGGGTGGCCCCGTGATTCGGGGTTTTTGTTTAAATTAGTTGAGTGTAACTATTTTTTAAACCCCAGAATTTGCTTATACCTTTTTTCATAGCCCGGTTTTTTTGCTGCTGAAAACCCGATTTTTGAAGTCGCCCCCTATTATTGCCCCGCAATTGGTTTTTTAAGTCCGGGCAATTTCTTTTGGAAAAGTTCCCTTTTAAGAAAAAAGGGCCGGGGGAGGAGGGGGGGGTAACTATTTTTACCCAAAAATGGGGTTTGGGCTTGGGAAGCAGCACTTCAAAACCCTAAATTCCATTTTTTTGGGTTTTTTAAAAACAAGGGGCCTTTTGGGGTTTTAAGCTAAGTCATTTCTAATGTAGGCACATACTCTGCCACCCTTTTTCGTTCCTATTAAGTTTTTATATTGAAACCTTCATTTTGACCTGTCGTCAGTCCCCGATCACCCAAAACCGGGTTTCAGAGATGGTTATAATGCCGCCTAATTTTGTTAGCTAGAATCCTAATCTCTGCCAATTTGGAAGAAGTGATTTTGGGGGTTGACATAAATAAAGTAAAGGCCTTTTTCATAAAAAAATTTTTTAAAATCTTTAAATTAGGCAAGAATGGGTAGAGGTTGGTAGACGAAAACCCCCCGGGGAAAAGTACTACGTCCTGCAGATGACTTGAAACAAAAACCTGTAATTTTTTGCATGATGGTAGGATTGCGGGTTTTCTTTTTCTGTCTCATAAACACGTAAAATACAGGGGTACTTGCACTCCCCACTTCACTTTGGTCACACTTCACAGCACGCACATGCAATTATATATAAACATCTAGGTTTTTCTCCTTTTTCTAAAAAAGCTCTTTTTTTTTTATTTCTTCTATTTTCCTGGGGGAAATGGGAAAAAAATTTTCCTCCGAACCTGGGTGTAGGGGGCGACTAAAATCCCGGGGGCAATGGGCTAGTAACCCCTTTTCCCGTATACAATTACTAAAAAAGGAAAAAAAGAAAAAAATTTATAAAACTGGGTTGCTTTAAAAATGCGTGGATGTAGTGCGGGGTGACAAGAAAAGATGATTTCTGATGTTATGAATGAAAGAAGTTGGATGTCCGGCCCTAAGCGAAAAAAAGCTGAAGGGGGGGGGGGGAGTTTCATGGGGGGAAATAAATGGATTAAATCTGGAGTATCTGAGAGAGTTAGGCAAAGGAAGGGGTGCAG